ATATATATATATATATATATATATATATATATATATATATATATATATATATATATATGTGTGTGTGCGTGTGCGTGTGCGTGTGCGTGTGTGTGTACTTGTGTTTGCATACCTACATTCATAATTTATTTATTATTTTATTTTCTATACGTTTATTAGTATGTATGCATGTATATTTACAATATATATCTACTCATTTTAATATTTTTAGCACCTACCAACTATTACATGTCAAATTATCCCAGCATTAACTGGTAGAGAATGCCATAAGGCATTAAGTCCTCCCATCGTAAACCTTAAATTAAGGTGTAAAACTAAGATGCACAGACCGCGGCCCACGGGCCGCATGCGGCCCGCCGGTCGAATACTGGTGGCTCGCCGACAGCAAAAATAATACTCTCGTACATTCGAAAAATATTGAATTATATTCCAGAATAAAAAGTAATTTGATCTATTGTTTTACACTGTAAAACAATAGATTAAATAAATAAATATTTTTGTTGATTTTAGTACCATGTAGTGTAGTTAGTTTTTTTAAGTTGATTTTTCGAAGTGTTTCTAATATTATCCAAGCTTGTTTGCTATTTTTTTCTTAATATATTAGTTATAGTATACGACTTTGTGTTTTTGTCTCTGTCCACCTCCCCTAGTTTTGGTTTTATAGGGAGGCAAAGCTTAAGGTGACCATATTACCCTCAAGTACCTTACTATAAAAAAAAATGATAGTTACGTCTAAGTCTTCAAAACTTCCTTCGGCTAGAATTTCGCCTTTATCCATTATAACGATTTGGTCCACGGATTTAATAAACTGTATTTGATGAGTCACTAGAACCACTGTTTTATCTGATAAGTAGCTGTAACATAAATTATTATATATATATATATATATATATATATATATATATATATATATATATACATCTACGTATGTTAACTAAATAAAATATTAAATAACTGTATCCGGCATACGTTGCAATCAGTTTTGGCAGAAACATTAGTGGGCATTATGGAGTGTAGAAGTAAGGAGTACCAACTCCCATAGTAGAATAGTTGAAAAAGGGGCCATCTGTAAGCAGTAAATAACAGTGCAAAAACTCTCCACAACAGCGCTGGAGTAGCTACTGGGATGAATTGAACTTAGCAGTTGTCGACGGTTTAAGTGTGCTGCTAAACTGCTCAACAGCTCTAAAATCTAAAATAAGACGGTTTTCTATGGACACTTTTTAATACAGAGTCTGTACTCCTTACTTCTACACTCCATAATGGGCATGCACAACTCAAAAACATTTTTTAATGGAATGACAAACGAACTCATAGTCCACCTGATGGTAAGTGGATGCTGTGGCCCATAGATACCTACATTTATGATTAATAATCAAAATGCAAGTCTGTTGTCACCCCAGAGGGCTAAGATTTAATGCTTAGTTACCAGTAAACTGAAATTGTTAGGTTGTAAGCGTGGCAGAGGTCTGATACTGCAATTCTTACTTTTATTATGATATCTAGAATTATTTTCGAGTAATTCCATAAGCATCTTTTTTAACTGAATTAAAAAAAGGAGAAGGCGTACGAGTTAAGGTTTTTTGTATTATGTTTACGTTTTAATTGTGAACCAATTTCAAGGATCTTTATCAATTAGGTAATACATAAGGGGTTCCATAATAGGTTAAGAGAAAAATTTCACCCCTAGGGTGTACATTACACGCTCATGCAGGCGTCAATCAATTCCATCAATCATGATTGTTAAAAACGAATGGTGACTGATAGGCGTACATTACGCGCTCATGCAGGCATCAATCACTGCATTACACGGTAGGTTATTCGTCAATCACAACCGTGATTGTTGTAAAACTGACAGCCTGCATGACCGTGTTATGTACGCCTAAGGGTGGAAAATTAGCATGAATATTTTGACGTTACTGTTAAAACGACAATTGGGCTTGTGATATTCCTTAATTCACTCAAATTAGTCAGAAAAATAAAGGTTGAATAAAAAAATAAAAGCAGACAAACTAATTTTGAAAGCGACTACTAATAAACGATATCTGCGTGTAGTATGTACCTCTGTGAAGAAGCCTAGCGATTTGTACATAGTATTTGTTACACTTAAAAGCAAATTAATCCAATCAGTGTTAAAGAAAACCAACATTTTTACCCTTTAAAAAAACTAATGCTAAAAGCAAGCATCCAGACGCAGACCATTTATTTTACAGCATATAAATACTTGTTCAGTTAGGGAACGAATACTTGGTCCTGCAGTGTTGCAACCAAACGCTTAACCACTGCACTACGGAGTCTAAATTTATTTTTTATTTAATTAATTAGTAGTATAATTGTGCTTTGTTTATTTTATGTTTATTTTATACATATTTTTGTACCTAATAATTGTAGAGATATAATTACAAAGTGATGTGTGTATGTATGAGTGTGTAAAATACATTGATTTCTTATCCTCATTGGCATTTTTACTCAATCCCCGCGCAAAATATTTTATTTATTGTAAATCAGTATAGAGATCTAACTTTTATTATAGTATGTAAGGGTAATACGGTCATCCGGTTAATGTGTTCACTTTATTATAACTTAAAAACTACAGCCTTGTTTGCATAGATGGCTCTATGATACGATAGCTCTATCAGTCAATCGAATAAAGGGTCAAAAGGGCGCGACTCTACCGACGTCATTTTGACAGTTGAAATTATAGTAAATATTTTAGTCGATTTTAGTATTATGTGGTGTAGTTAGTTGTTTTTAAGTTGATTTTTGGAAGTGTTCTTAATTATTGCCAAAACATGTTTGCATTTTTTTCTAAATATATTAGTTGTAGTATACGAAATTGTGTTTTTGTCACTTTACTAGTATAGGTTTTATAGGACGGCAAAGCTTAAAGTGACCATACGTACCTTTTAGTTATACCTATAAAAATATCGATAAACAATAAATCGATAAACATTATATCGATAAAATTATTCGAGGATAGATATTAACAGCACTAGTATAATTCGCCTACATTGTCTGCACTGTTTTATAATAGAAATAAAAGTCATGTCCTAATGTTGGTAGAGTAGTTTGACGCCCTTTCATACATTTTAAAGTATTAAATTTTACATACTGAAGTCGTGGCTTTAACTATTCTACATTATATCGTAGCACAGAATTCAGTACCTAAAATTATTTTATACCTTTTACATTATATTAAAAGATTAATTCTAGAGTTTTCCTAGACAGCAAAATTATTACCTTTTAATGCAATTTTCAAAAATATGTCTCGCGACGTGTGTGTCCACTGCTGACAATGGATCATCTAAAAGATATATACCAGCCTGTGAAGAAAGGTATCCAAACTCAACCATTAAGAACAGATTACAACACATTACGAACAAAATATGAAGATGTGTTACCTCTTTATACACAGCTCTAGCTAGGTTTATTCTTGCCCGTTGCCCCCCACTAAGAGACACTCCTCGCTCACCAATCACAGTTTTATCTCCATGTGGAAACAGAGATAGGTCTCTTTCAAGTGCGCATACCTTACAGACTTCCATATAGCGAGCTTTATGAAATGGCTGACCAAAGAGAATGTTTTGTCGGACTGAGCCTGTAAATGACGTAGCACATAAATAGCTAGTAAAAATTCCGAAATCAGTACTTTCTCGAGACTCTTTCTTCAATATTGTGTATTTGTCGAATATACAAGTTTTTATAAAGTGAAAGCTTCTTACGCTCAGATACATATGTATATACAGATGTCAGATACAATTATATATGTAAATATAGTGATAATATATATATATATATATATATATATATATATATATATATATATATATATATATATATATATACAACATGTAACTAAATTAACGCACTTTGAGAAAGTAGTTTGTTCAGAATCGTTTACTGAATCGATTCCTATCATTTTTAATATAGGTATTTTTTATCCCAAAAATAATTAAAACTACGTAAATTACAGTCACACTAAATCTGTACAGTCAAAACAAACTGAAATGGACCGTAACTTAAGGCAATAAGACTTTTAAGAGTGCAGTTTTATTTGTATTATTACTAATTCTGTCATTCAATAAAAATAAAGAAAAATGAACTTTATTTCAGGCACGTTAAAGTCTTTGCGTTCGTGGATTTGTACGGTGACCACAACATTCTTCCGGAATTAGTCTAACTAATTTGATAAATAATCAGTGCATAAAAATGTTTAACTAAAAATTCAGTGTATGTATTATGATTATAATATAATATACTAATTGGGGTGTCTGAGGGTGTGCGTTAATTACGTTACATATTATATATATATATATATATATATATATAATTTTAACTTTATTTTTATTCTGACGTGCAGTCCTACGACTGACAGTTTTTATTTATTTCTTTCTTTTTTCCTCAACTCCTGTAAATCCGATAAAGCTTACAGCTTGCAAAAAAGTAAAATTACAGCCTATGTACGTCCCTCTGCTCTGTAGGCCTCCTCACATTTTTTACCATTTACGTTTTTATGCTGTCAGCCTTTTACACTCTGGAGCAGCACAGGTTTACTCTCGAAAAAGGCCTCCTCTCATACTCATATCCTCTCTCAAGTTCACAATTGAACATTGGCCTCCACCAAAGAATGCCACAAAGCACGGTCCTGCGCCACCTGCATTCATCGACTTCTTGCATGTCTTACGAGGTCGTCACTCCATCTAGGGAGGGGCCCTCACACTGCAAGCAACTGAAAGGTGTACATTGAAAATAACAAAAAATAGCAAAATTTTGCTATTTTATTTAGTGCACAATAGTGATGGTAAACATTGTGGTAAATCAGTCCATCAACAGGCGTTGGAGCTGCACGGCACAATTCTTAAAACCTTATTAGAAATGTGAAGAGGGTGCAGAGCAGTGGAATGTACGGCGGCTGTAGGTTTCCTCTTTTTTATATGTCCACCGGCGTTAAGGTCTGTAGGACTTAAAGAAATATTTATTATTTAGTATCCAAATAGTACCAGAATCTCACCAACAAATAACCATGGATCTTGACTAGCGTAGCTCACATTGCCGGTTACTTTCATGCTGCCACTAGAGGTGGGTAGCTCACTGAGCATCATGTGTAATATTGTGGACTTGCCTGAACCAACTGCTCCTATTATAGTTGTAAGCGAGCCTGAAAAAATCTGTGCGAATGTTTTTATTTTGATTGTTGATCTAAGCCTTTTTGAAACAGTTATAGTTGGATCTTATGTGTATTAGGGATCTATGCCCGTCATTACATCAGTTCATTTCATTACCATCAGTACGAAAGTTCGCATGTTCGAAGGAAAGATTGTAATTCAAACATTTTCAGTACCTAGCTGTAATTATTTTTTCTAGCAATCTCATTACACTAATGGTTACGATAGCGACGAGACCACTTTGGGTGGATACGCTGTGTAAAATTTTTTACAAGTCCACAGGCTCGCAATCTGGCTTGTTACGAATGCAAGACATACTCGTATATATAAATAAATACACATACTGGAAGACCTTTTTTACCGTCCTAAAAATATGTGAACAGAGTAGAAGCCTATGGCACTGATATTTTATAAATATTAAAAACAAAAATAATTAAATAATAAAATTAATTAAAATCTATCGAAATTCAAATCATATGCACCTTACTTTACGAACGGCAATAAAACAATAGGTCAGGTAGCTCAGTAGGCATTGACCTTGCATTTTGCTGGGTCACAGGCTACGGTGGATATGATTTGAATTTCGATAGATTTTATTTTTGCTTTTATTTTTTGCTAAATATGAGTGCCATAGGCTTGTACTCTGTTCACATGTTCCACTCTATTTTTTTCCAGACTGTAAAAATGATCATCTAATATATGCGACATACCACAAAAAATTTAATACTATACTAAACTAAAACTATACGCCCGACTGACTTGAAACTTAGTATAGTTACTCATTTCGCAATGTAGATTCTCAGTAAGAACTGAAATAATAAGTAATCCCATAAAAAAATTCTTGATATTTTACATCTAGGTTCGCAATAAAATATTTATTTTGCGCCCAGCGAAGCGAGCGGGTATCAGCTAGATAAATTATTATGTATAAAATGTAATATACAACATGTAACATAATTAACGCACTTTGAGAAAGTAGAAAGTAGAAGTTCAGTATCGTTTACTGCATCCATTCCTATCATTTTTAATATTTAAAACCAAAAATAATTAAAACTACATAAATTACAGTCACACTAAATCTGTACAGTCAAAACAAACTGAAATGGACCGTAACTTAAGGCAATAAGACTTTTAAGAGTGAAGTTTTATTTGTATTATTACTAATTCTGTCATTCAATAAAAATAAAAAAAAATGAACTTTATTTCAAGCACGTTAAAGTCTGCTTTCGTGGATTTGTACTGTGACCACAACATTCTTCCAGGATTAGTATAACTGTACGAGCAAGTACATGATATTTCAACAGTTTAGAAAATAATGCTGATATCGCGCCTCGCGCGCGATACGTTCACTATAATTACATTTTTTATTCATAAGTATTTTCAGTACAATAAACGCTCTCTACGGAAACGGACACAGTTTTAATTACCACATCCCGTAACGTAGAAGATACAACCTACATTAATATACTACATATCAATTATATGTAGAGGGTCACAACTCACAAAATACCCCCTACATTTTGGTCCTTCGAGCTTTCGACGTGAACTAAGACTTGCATATTACGTCTACAATAGTTCAACAGTAAAGTGTATTTGAAAAAAAAAAAAAAAAGAGTAATTCGTGATTCTATCTGTAGTGTCACTTTGGTTGCTGGCCTCCCACAAGCGGGTCTCACCAGCTTGATTGAGGTGCATACTACGGTAAGAGTCGCAGTCACACGTATCTGAAACCAACTATTTACAACATCGTTCTTAAACCATGGAGAACCTACTTCAACAGCAGAGAACAATCATTGAATCTATCCTTAAAATTGAGGCTAACTTCAAAAAGGATTCTGATTCACGTAAGTCAGGAACATACATACAGAAAAGGTTGGATGCTTTGAATGCTCAATGGGAGGTGTTCAACATGAATCATGGTGTTCTAAAAAAAACAGACAGTGACTTGGATGACGACTATTTCATCAATGATACCTACACCACCACAAAGAAGCGGTACGAAGCGATTCGTGACATGCTGACGAACTACGAGGTGAAAACTGCGGAAACTGGAGTACCATCAAGGTCTGATGAGTTCATTAGCCAACAACGCACTAATTTCCGGGCGCTCTCTAGGGTGATTAAAAACATCAACACCAAAGAGTTGACAGAAAAGTGGGAAATTTGTGACAAACTGAATTCGCTGCAGTCTCGCTGGAAACTGATCGACGAGCTCCACTGGCAAATCGATAACCTGACTTCTGGCGGTGATGTAGGCTACGAAGAAGAGTTTTCTGCATACGAAACCTTGTACGAAACTACAAAAAGGGATTTGAATCGTAAGCTTAACTCAGTATCTCAACAGCATCAGCAAGTGCCTACAATTGAGATTCCTTCTTTTTCTGGTAATTATACCCAGTGGCCTACATTCATGGACCTCTACTGTGAAGCCATCCACAACAATGTCATGTTGACAAAAACGCAAAAGATGCAGCACCTCAAGGGCAAACTTAAAGGCGAGGCGGAGCGCATCGTACAGCATCTTACAGTATCAGCTGATAATTACGACACCTGTTGGGAGATACTCACCCATAGGTACAACAACCGACAACTTTTGTTTACAAAACATATACAAACCCTTATGGGACAACCGGCGTTGCAAACACAGAATGCATACGAGCTGAAGAAGCTACATGACACAAGTGTCGAGACCATACATGCTATTCACAATCTGGGCATCGACACAACGACTTGGGATCCGATCCTGATGCACATTCTCACTGGCAAATTGGACTCCGACACGTATGCAGCCTACATGGAGATCAGAAAGGCTCCGAGAGAGCTACCTTCCTTGGATGAGCTGATAAACTTCTTGGAAAACAAGTTTACTGCGCTTGAACCTGTTCAAAAGAAGAGACAGACACCTAACAAGTCAAACAATTCGACCAACAAGGAGGCAACAGCTCAATTTAAGAAGGACTTTAACAACACCAACAGGCGTAGTTTTCTTCGAGCATATCATACAAGCACAGACAAAAATTGCCCGCTGTGTAAAAACAATCATATTTTACTCTACTGCAAGTCGTTTCAAGACATGTCACCGGAAGACAAAATGAGGTCAATTTCGCAACTACATATTTGTCGCAATTGCCTGTACTTACACAACGACAATAAATGCAACTCCAACAAAAGATGCCGCGTGTGCAAAGAAGCACACCACACAACATTGCACGATATTTACCGCAAAGTTGAAATCGCGGTCTCAAATAACGTTATACCTAGCAACAAGCCACATACGTCACAGCAAAAGGCAAACCACGTGTCTGGAAATTATAACGAAGTCCTACTAGCGACCGTTCAATTAAAGGTGATGGCAGCTGATGGATCGACTGTTCAATTGCGATGCCTTCTCGACCAAGGATCACAGATAAATCTAATAACTGAAGATGCTGCGCAACGGCTGGGACTGCAAAGACAAAATCGAAACGCCACAGTCTCAGGCATAGGGACGTCAGCACATCATAGCAACGGAACCGTACGGTTAGACTGTGAGTCTTTGTACGGAGGCCATTCATTTACAATCGAAGCCATGGTAATGGCCAACATGCTCAGCAACCTGCCTAATTACACCTTCGAAAAACAAGACTGGCCACATATTCAGAACATACAACTGGCGGATCCCGACTTCAACATCTCGAGACCAGTGGACGTTCTGTTAGACGCTGGAGTGTATGCTGACATAGTAATGAGTGGTATGCTACGAGGACCCTCACACGCACCCATGGCTCAACAGACAAAAGTGGGCTGGGTACTGCTGGGCAATATCAAAACCTTCAACTGCCACGTGCTCATTAATCTTGACGATGTATCTCGATTTTGGGAGATGGAGGAGATAACCGAAACCAATCACAATCTAACATCAGAGGAAGAATACTGTGAATCTATTTATTCAACCACAACAACAAGAAAAGAAGACGGACGATATGCAGTCAGACTTCCAATGAAAATAAACTACGAACAAACCTTGGGCACTTCTAAGCCACAGGCAATCGCACTATTTCGGCAGTTAGAAAAACGATTGGCCAAACAGGAAACATTTTCTACGTCATACAAGATGTTTATTGACGAATATCTACAACTCGGCCACATGAAGCCATGCACTGAACACCATAAGCCAAGCTACTTCTTACCTCATCACGGCGTACAAAAGCTGGACTCAACAACTACAAAATTGCGCGTAGTCTTTAATGCCTCTGCCAAGACAAGTACAGGACAAAGCTTGAACGATCTCATGGAGTGCGGGCCTAACCTCCAACAAGACCTACAATCTATGATTCTACGTTGGCGAGCCTTTCAATACGTCTACACTGCAGACATTGAGAAGTTTTACCGTCAAGTACTGATACACGATGAAGATCAACACCTGCAAAAAATTGTATGGCGTGACTCTGCTACAGATCTCATCAAAGAATACCAACTGTGCACTGTAACATATGGTACCAAAGCTGCACCATTTTTGGCAATGCGCACCATAATACAACTCGTAATGGACGATGGACACCGCTATCCTCTCGCGGCAGAGATCCTTACTCACCAGCTGTATGTGGATGACCTACTTGGTGGCAGCAACGACATGTTAGAAGCACAAGACGCTCAAAACCAATTGATTGACCTGTTAAAAGGCGGTGGGTTCAATCTTCGCAAATGGGCTAGTAACCACCCCAGATTGCTTCAAACTTTACCTGAACATCTCATAAGCCAGAATATGTTTGACTTCAAGGACGCAGAGAGTAACAAAACACTCGGCTTAACCTGGAATCCGCACACTGATCAGTTTACATTCAAGGCGCCACTTAGTAACACACGTGACGTCACAACGAAGCGGACATTGCTCTCTGATCTATCAAAATTATATGACCCACTTGGTTGGCTGTCTCCGGTAACAATGAAGGCAAAACTCATATTTCAACAAGCTTGGCTTGCTTCAACAAATTGGGATGAACCTCTTCCGGAA